AAGCAAATTTACACAACCCGCATATAGCATTAGCTAGTCTTGGCGGGTATTAGTAATAAATAAGTAAATACTACACATTGCAAGCTAAAGAAGTTTGATTACCACAATAAACTAAAGAGATTTTACAATAAACTAAAGAGATTTCATTACTACAATATTATTGGGGTTATAAGCCATGCATTAGTTTACTACATTATAAGCTAAAAGATACGTACAGTTGTCATACAAATTAAATACAATAAAATTACTAGTGAGTTAAAACAAGACATAATAATCAAATACAGGCAGAGCAGACTGGAAAGTAGAGAGGAGAGAATTGTGATATACGGATGTGAGCGAAGTACTACAGTTATAATTTTCGATGATCATTGGTATTGAATTTCAATATTAGTGAATGGGCGTAAACATAATAGTCCTCAATCCCCGCAAGTATAGTCAAAAGCAACTTATGAATTTTCCTTTTAAATGCTCTTTTCGTGAGCTTACGCAAGTCAGGGTTTAGACAGTTCCATAACCTCGTACCAAACGCAGAGAAAGACTTCACATGCAATCTAGATTCCTGTACATAAAAATTCTCTGTGGAAGAAAAACGTGTTTTATATGTATGGACGTCAGATGAATTAATAAAAGTTCGGGAATATATTCCTAGGTGTAGAGCTAGTAGAAACGTCATGCATTATGGCAGAGATGGTTTCAAAATAGAGCATATTAATGGGTAGGATATTCGAAGTTATAAGAAGAGGGATAGCATGAGATATTTTGCTGGAGAAGAAAATCAATCGGAGTGCACGCTTTTGTAAGGTGAGAATCTTTTTTAAATCACTCTGAGCTGCCTGACGACCCCAAGCAGCTATACCGTAGAGCGAGTAGGGAAAAATCAGCGAACGGTAAATTTGAAGAAGGGTATTTAAAGGTACATGATGTCTTAGCCTAGCGATTATACCGACTATTTTGCTAATCTTCGAAGCAATATTTCAACTGGCTGTAAATAAGAAACCTTAAGTCAACTTAAAACGAGTTAACATTTACCTGGTATTTATTGCTTTAGAGTCAACTCAGGTCAGAGGAGCGCTATTTGAATGATAAAATTTTTTGTAGTCAATATGATTTACAAAGAGTATTCCGCCGGGCGATTCAAGCTGAGAATCAACGAAGGAAAAAATGTCAGAAAGTAGGAATATTCTCTTGTCATGACTTCTGTCTTCTTTAAAATTCAACTCTGTTCTTGAATTGAATGAGACTACCAGCAATGAAAAAACTTTCGATGCAAATATTAAAACCGAAACAAAACGCACGTTTTAACTAAGGAACAATGACTATTATTATGAATATGACTAAAACGAACTGCCGAACCGAAATTGAATTTCAAATGTCAATCAGAAACCACTCGGCAGGCGGAGGCGGAGGCCGAGGCCATCGATTGAAGGTAAAGAACTTCAGATTCAAGGCTATACTTTTCGCAGTCAAGTATTAAATCATCGAGTTTCAATAACAAACTGGTAGGTCTCCGAAGGGATGTTACTAAAACTTAAAACGAGAAACGGAGAACGGGGAGCGGGGAGCGGGGAGCGGGGAGCGGGGAGCGGGGAGCGGGTGTACAGCGGTAACCCACCTGAGAATTCAAAATGGCGGAGTAAACGTAGTGTTTACAAACACTGATTTTATCGTATGTGCACGATCCTTCGCAGTAAAGCACTACTGATTTAAGCAATAGTGAAAATCAGACCTGAAAAAAATTCAGGCCTGTACGGGATTCGAACCACTGACCTCTGCGATACTATGGGAGCAGGCCATCAAATTAATTCGACATAAACCCGTAGATGATAAATCAAATAACAAACATATGAAATACATATATATGAACTGCGGTTATGAAACGTATGTGCCCGATCCTTCGCAGTAAAGCACTATTTAAGCAATAGTGAAAATCAGTTAGCTCAATTGGTTAGAGCGCTGGGGAGCACTGTTGTGCGCGGGTCGAAGTCGATGGTTCGAGCCCCGGCCGGACCAACACTCAGGGTCTTAAAATAACTGAGGAGAATGCGTTACCTTTCTATAATATCAAGAAATGGATAGACATTCTAGTCTTCTCGGATAAGGACGAATAAACCGTAGGTCCCGTCTTCTGCATCTATTAATTGATTAATTTGGTTAGGCAGGGGACGTTGAAGAACCCACTCACGAGATTACTGCGATGTGGTTTGCCCTGTTTACTGGGGATTGGTGGGAGGGAGCATCTTCAAATCTGTTTCCCTCGCCGGATTGTTTGTAAACTGCTGATGCAGTTCGGCCAAAGTCCCCCGAAAAGTGTTGTGATGCGCATTTGATCATATCTACATGTTAATTTGCGCAATATAAATATCAAATTATTAAAATCAAATTATTATTCAATAACATGACTTTGATGCGTCCAATTCGGTCGATAATAAAACTCCTCACTGAAAAGTTAGACTCTTGCATTGCGGTTTTCCGATAACGTTCACCACTCGTATTGTGACCGATAAAATTGGACTCAACTAATTGCTACACTAAACATATGGAAAAAGTGTAGTCAGGAGATGTCATGAGTTCTATGGAAATTGGTTGCCTCTGACTATTGTTATTTCTGAAACAGACGTTTCGGCTAATGCTGAAGCCTTCATCAGTGATATGAAAAACCGAAGATCGTTATCATATGCTATTTACGAAGCTTGCGCGCGTAACTATGTATTTGATGCGCGCGCATCAAATACATGAAGGCTTCACTCCTTTATTGTTGCACTCCTTTTGACGTAAATATAAAATTACGAAGGCACCCTTGCACATCTTTAAAAAGGGGAAGCACATGATATATCAAGAAATTGAAAGTGTGTGTCAGGGAATATTTTCGCTATCGCACAGTGCTATGGTTTGAATTTGTGTTCGGCTTCGGTAATTCAATACGAGCATTATGTCTCGAAACTCTAAAAAACGTTGTTAGCTTTTATACAGAAGCCTACAAGATACAATAAACTATAGCCGTCTAAATCTGTTGTTGCTTGAATCACCTATGAATTTCTGTTAAGTGGAACGATTGGACAAATTGGGTCAAATTGGTGATGTGGCTTATTGCAAGTTTCCTCGGTCCAGAAGATGTAGTACGTTTACGAAGAACTTGCAGAAAGATGCATGCAATGTTGCCTGAAGTTGTTGTCACCGATCGAGAATCTGTGGGAAGGAGACGACTTTTATGTCGTCGGACTACATCGTAATCGCAGTCATTTGAACTATGGTCCACTGTAATGTGTCAAAACTTTCGGATACAAAATAATAATAATAATAATAATAATAATAATAATAATTATTATTATTATAATTATAATAACAATGATAATAATGGCAGTAATTTGTTTATTTGTTTGTTTATTATTATTTTACAGAACATTACAAGCAATTATTATTTTTTTTTTTTACAGAACAGTACAAGCAAATTTACACAACCCGCATATAGCAGTAGCTAGTCTTGGCGGGTATTAGTAATAAATAAGTAAATACTACACATTGCAAGCTAAAGAAGTTTGATTACCACAATAAACTAAAGAGATTTTACAATAAACTAAAGAGATTTCATTACTACAATATTATTGGGGTTACAAGCCATGGTATATTGAAAGAAATATACTAATTTTTTTGTATCTGGGTGTTATGTGCTAAAACAATTATCCACCTCAGTGTTGTTGAAAGTGGTGGATATTTATTTATTTATTTATTTATTACTCGTTTTAGTGTGTATTTTGCTGAGTATTTTTACGAGTGGTGCTGTACTTGGACGATGATGCTTTTTCTTGAAGTTTTTTCATTTTTTTAAGTTAATTTTCACATCTCTAATTTTACAGAAGCGAGATTACAGAGGAAGGAGGAATCCAACTAGTTCAAAACGTTCCATCGCGTGTAGTGTTCCCTCTTGAAGCTCTGCCAACACCTGCAGAGGTCACATGTTTTTTATGGAATCCACGGATTCTGTCACCACCCCTAGAAAGAAATGAGGCCTTAGTGAGCAGTGTGATGGAACTAGCCTGTGAAAGCCTCTCTGGTGCAGACTTAAGAAACCACGACGGCGACGCCAAGGAAGACTTCGATTAAAAAATGAATTTCTACTCTTAGTTAGAATTTCAAAAATGGCTGCAGGAGCTTACTGTCTCATACAGCGCCACAGCTCAACTTCAGCATGACGTATAAAGTAGCCGTTGAGTTCCAAATGGAAATTAAAATAATTTGCCGTCGCGGTTTCGGTTCGCAGACGACGCAAATTTTGGCGATTTCACATTGTTGTTTTGCATAGGACGGCTAAGAAATGTACAAAGTTTCAAAACGCACGTGCTGAGCTATTGTTCTGCCAATTAGATCTCTTGTTTTTCCACGTCCTCGTTGCCGTCGCCGTTGTGGTTGCTTAAGGTCCCTAATAATATTGGCTCTGTAGCGTGACCAGTCGCGTGACGGAGTTAAAAATCATGAAATCAACAGTACAAGTAGCGTGACATAAAAATCATGAGATCAACAGTTCTTGGCCGAAATAAGAAAGAAAGAAAAAGATAGGCTGTTTCCTTTGCTGGTCTAAAACAGCTCTTCCATCAATTTTTTATACCCATATTTCATTTTGCTCTTTTTGTCGCAATACACATTTAAAATAGAAGTGATATCACCCGTTTTATGTAAATGTTCCGCTTTCGTTTCTGCAAGTCAGCAGTGACCGCACCGAAACCGACAACAACATCACGACTGACTCACATTAAACAGTGGAGAAGGCTGAATAACAACCATTTAAAGCTGTAGTCGGTTGAATAACCTGTCAGATGTTTTGTGTATGATGGAGTTACTCGACGAACTGGTGTTACGACATATAGCAAGTTTCCTCGATCCAGAAGATGTGGTACGCTTACGAAGAACTTGCAGAAAGATGCATGCAATGCTGCCTGAAGTTGTTGTGACAGAGGATCTGTGGAAAGGAGAGGACTTTTATGCAGTCGGACCGCATCGTGGTCCCAGCCCACCTGAACTTTACTTTGACGGGCCAATACTACCTAGTAAAGTGATCAAACTAGAGGCGTCGATAGTCTGGAATGACCAAGGCTGGGGGAACAGAAAAGGAGAGCTAATCGTCCGCTTAATGCGGCCGAATTGTACAGGAGAACCATTTCAGATCGCAGAACTGTGGGGGCTGTTTGACACCGCTCCCCATCGCGAAATGGCAGCTAATAAGGAGGTGGACAAAGATCATCCCGTTATTGCCAAGTCCAAGAAAGGTGATTTCTACAGGTTTATGAGGAGGATCGGCGGCGGTGGGGGCCATACTCTGAAAGTAAAGAACTTTCGAGTCAAAGTCACAGTATGTAAAATATCAGAATAATTCTCCGCGGAGACGAACCTGTAGATTTTACACCACTGACTATGGACAGTGAAGTAAAGAATTTCATAGTTATTTCCATTCCAGGTAGATCATTTTGATAAAATGTTTTGAAACAACTGGAAGATGTTACGGCGTTAACTAACGGCGTAAAATCGTAGAGTAAGTATACATATACATAACCTTTTTTTTAATTTAAAAAAATATATATATAAATAAATTATCACATAATTATACCAAAGACGATATTGGCGTAAAATCTTCCAGTTTATCGACTGAAAATTAATAGTCACGTTATGTCATTATTCTTTGTTTTCAACCACGTGACAAACATTTGCTACGTCATACGCGGCCGCCATGTTGGGGGGATAACTAAGCTTTCAAAATGGCTTCTTCCGAAGGCGTGCCCGATGTGAACCTTCAGTATTCGGATTACTTTGCGGGTGTAGAGGGTCCTACGAAGTCAAGGTACCACGAAAAAATAACTGTTTAAGGCTTCGACCGATATGCGTTGAGAAAAAGTGATTTCTCCGAAAACTTCGAGCTCCTTCTGAACGTTCAATATCCAGATGTTGTGAACTACTTACACCAACCAAAATGAAGTTGTTGTGTTCGCCAGAGTTAGTCACGGTAGTGTATTTTTTTTCTGATGATCTCGCAGAGAAGCAAACAGAGCAAAATATAGGACTCATTTTTTATCGACCTCGGCTAACAGCTCTTGTTTTACTAGGTAATTTGGTTACTTCAGCTAAGTTGAAATTGTAAATTGGCCACCGTTAAACAAGGACCCTGACTATAAAAGGGATAGCTCCTCCCCCGTCTTGTAACGCAATCTTTGCTTCCATGGCTAATCGAAGATGGCTGACTAATGGAAGGTGAAGGGGGAAAAAGAGATTTGTACACGAAGACCGATATCCTTGTCTTGTTTCAATTGATTTCCACTTGAAAATGTTTTTATTGACGATTAAAAAGGGACGAATGGAGAAATACTGATCTTCATTTGCAAAACTCAAAAAATTAGGCTATCGCAATTTGAATTTCGCGCTCCTAACGGCTCCTCCTATCGCGAGATGGTCGTACTGGCCCTCTGACTCCCCTCCGTTTGCCTCAACTTCTTGAGCCGTCGATATCATTGACTAGAGGATCTCAGTACTGTGACATGCTCAGAGAGAGTGGTTTTCATGTACATATATGTACATTTATGTACATGTATGTAAATGTGTGTACGTGTATGTTGCGACATAACTCATCTTCCACTTCGAATTGATCCATTT